GAAGGTGCGGCTAGAGTATCTGAATATGTAGCTGCAACTAATACAACTTTACTATTGCCGATCGCAGAAGCAATGGTAACATATAGGTAATATCTCTTTAAGTATAAAATACGTGTCACTTGTTTTTATAAATAAATGCAAATACACATCAAGTTCTATTTGAAATAATCTTATTATAGAGAAACCGATGACAGTAGTCAAATATTTATTCCATTTGTAAATGACGTTCGGGTTGGATGTCCTGACAGTAGTTCTTCTACGTCGGTCGATCTTGAAGAAAGCAATGTTACTATGTCCGGTTCTCCTCCGTCTTTACCTCCTCCGGGATTATCGATGACAATTCCACCTCCTGGTAGATTGACTCCACCTAGTAGTCCTAATGTAGGCCAACCTATCAGGGAAGGTTGGGAACCTGTGGAATTGCAATTGGATTATTGGAGCAAACAAATTCAAGGAGAAAAGGGCAAGAATACGCTGAGGCAAGCTTTTAGGGTGTTACACGTGCAAAGACTTCCGCCGTTAGGAGAAGCTCCGGGTCATCATCTATCTATGAATTATACGACCAAAGAGAAGAAACAGAAAAGTAAGTACTTGACGTTAATGGCAACAATTATTATTCTCTAACATAAGCTAATAAAGTATTTACAATTCGGTATATTACGTGTTACGAGTTTTGCAATTATTATACTATCATTAGTATATAGTAATATCTACAGTAATCTAATAATAGTATCTAAGCAAATATTTTACATATCTTAAATATACCGGTATTTATAGTATTCAAGTTAAATACATTTTTTGTTAATAGTAATGAGATTAGGAAAAAAGAAGGAGAAAGAAAAGGAGAATGAACCGAAAAGTCAAACTGTAGATGGTGTTACGCGTTTGATATGTTCGGCAAAAACTCATAACATTCCATTGAGAGGTAAGAGTTTTAACTTAAAAACTTCGTTTTACTGTATAATATTTAATGTATGATATCATAAGCTACTGCATTATTGATTTTTTTACTTTAGTGAGCATCGATGGTACTGAATGGTACAGTGTGAAATTTTTCCAACTATCGGCGCAGTGGCAAACACACATCAAGACTTTCCCTCTAGCCCTCTTTGATTATACTCCTCAGCCACAAGTTTTGAATCCTGTATGAAATCTCTCCCTTTTATGATTAATTAAATTTCCTTAAATTTGTGTATTTAATATTCCATGATGGGTATAACATTGAGACTGTGCTTAAATAGTAGAAATATGCAATATCAATATAACCAGCAAATTCTTGGAACTGCCTCGTTATTATCAGAGAGATTAACTATTATGATTTACGAATAATTATTAGATGTAGAAATTCATTTGGTGCCTGGATATTAAATTATTTATAACTCTAGTTTGAATGTAAATAATCGCCCGTCATTTATAACGTTTAATTACCAACACTTATAGTTATAAAACATTTGACTATTAATCAAAATAAAAACTATTAGTTAACAAGATGGTATTACTAATCTATTTGTTTTTAAAAAGCTTTGAATTGATTTCTACACATAATATGTTTTATTTCCTAAATGCATATAAATCATATATTATCATTTCTATTTCTTCGCATGTTCGTATAATATAGTATATTCATACCTAATGCGAGCTCAATTTTAATTACAATGTTCATTTAATAATTTTCATTATTGATATTGATCCATAAATATGGGAAAGTGCAATTTTAATGTATAATTTATTCATCAATTCCTTAACATGTTACTCTATAGACTTTGTATACAACTGAGGAATCCGAAAGATGCACATAGTATTGATTATATTAATTATAAAGCTACTATTATATCTAGCTAAATCTTTATTTCGCCTATTTTATTTTTTTAGAAATCTTACTTGAAGATATTATTGAATCTCTTCAAAATGATTTTTTACGATTGCTTTTATCCGTATTATTAAATTATGACATAATATAATTATATACATTTTCTTAATTATATCAGATTTAAAAATTATGTTTTCTTATTTTTCTCTTTCTTTTCTTTTGAAAAACTTACCGATATGAATAAATACAACTTTTGATGCACAAGTATATAAAAACCTATAAATGCTATTTTAGCATTATATAAATTATGGAGCAATGTCTGTTAATATTCAAAAGAATAAAATGCTACTTACAAAAATATTGTCAATGTAAACAAATGTTGGGAAAATTTTAATATTAATAGACACGTTTCATTTAAACTATTAAGTTTCCTACTATATGTTAGACAATTTTAAACTTAACTTCCACTGCAATAATAATGAAAAACTTTATGTTCATACATTGTGCCATAAAATATGTTTATGTGTTAAGTATTATATATATATCCTATTTTAATTGATAATAATTTATTTCTTTAAAGAATAACCTGCTAATATTTGCATAATTTCTTTACAAGATTAACAATTTATTATTTTAGCGTCGTTTGGAAGGTATATTTTATATTTATAGTTTGTAATTTATAATTTTTGATCTAGAAAATACTCTATTTTCGGATATTTTTATTTAAAAATATATCGTAAATATAAGGAAAGTTCCATTACAATAACAGTAGTAACTAATCAAGATTAGTAATTACAATTACTATTGTTGTCTGTACTACCACTACTACTGCTGCTGCTGCTATTGCTATTTCAACTACTGCTATTGTTAGTATTATTACTTTTGCTGCTATTGTTGCTGTTAGTACTGCTGCTATTGCTGCTCCTACTACTTTTACTATTTCTACTATTGCTATACTCCCACTACTACTACTGCAGGAATTATTATGAATATTATTATTACTATTGTTATAATCATCATCTTGAAAATATTACATACTGATAAAAGTTGTAGCTTGGCCAAATGTAAAAAATATTGTTTTTGTATTTCTGTCGTTTATTAACGATATTCGTGTAAAACTTGTTTGTAAAATTCCATACCTCTTTAGCAAGGATACTATAAATACGAAAAGAATGAAAAATTAGTATTAACATTTCTTTAAATAATGTGAATGTATGTCTGTGTTATCTTTTAATAGACACAGAGATATAACATACACATCAATTATATATATAAAATAATAATTATATTATTATCTAACTTTGTTCTTCTTTGATAAAACGATAAAAAGTAAAAACAAAAGTATTACTGTTTGTGCAACATATATACATATGTATCACCTTGACTGCCTAATAATGCCAACCTAATTGGATGCCTATCCGATTTATACAAAGATTCTGTCTACATGTTACTTTATAACAAGTGTGACGATAAGAAGGTCGATAATGATTACTTCTTGCTAAAGTAAAAAATAATTAATTCCTTAACATGCTTTCATATTATTTGCTGGTCTATACGGTTATTTATTAATAAGTATATGTATAAATGTGTATTTATAAATTTCAATGGTGTGATTAGGAAATGAGTATTTTTTCTGCATTTTTAGGAATAATAGAGTACTACTAAAGTTAAATTAATGAAGAGCAGTGCTGAATGATATGTGTTCATTCCAATCAATATATCAAAATTTAGGAAAATTGACATATGTGTGTATCCATCATTTTATAAGATATTTATTATCATAAGATGTACAAATGTTTGATAAAATTTGCTTTTGACGGACTATGATCATGTATACATATATGTTGAGTTATTTATCAACAGTTTTCAAATATGCTGAAATATTTTAAGTAAATAATTTTATTGTTCATCTATATCATGTATCTAACAATTGTAATCATAGAAAATAGTATTTCTGCATATCCATTCGTTTCTTTCACAAAAAATGTTTCATTTAATAAGTAGCTAGTTAAATGTTTTATTTAAAAACATGTGAATTCTACATGCACTTTTATAAATAAGCAAATGCCAAATAATCATATAAAAAAATGTATACCTCGTATATTATTACAAGTATTTCCATACTCGTTGGAAGTATTCCATACTCCATTATTACTCGTATATCATCATGTACAAGTTGAGTATTTATATATAATGCTGCAAATATAGCATAGATTCTTAATATATATTCGAATAAATAAAAAGGCAGAAATTCTTAGTATTTAATAACAATGTATATTTTTTTCATTTATTTTTTCTTTCAAAATAATATTACTAATTGTAAGTTAATGATTGTACTTGTAATGTTTTATCTTTCTTTTTTATAATAATTTTGATATAAAATCTAATTATAATACAATATCGTATTGATCTATATTATTTTATGAGTTATAATGATAAAATTTGTATTACCAGCTTATGGTCTGATGATATATACACAAGTGCACAAATAATTGAATTAATAAACATGACTCGCCATTTTTTATTCTAATCAATCTTATGCTATTATTTCACAGGGATATAGATGACTGTTGAATGAGCATAGTTTAAGAAAGTCTAATTAGAAGAGCCTATGTTATTTTAATTTAATACGGCAATATTTTTTAGATGATAGTACTTTATAATATATATAATAAAAACAACTGACAAACCTTACAGGAAAGTGATTAATATTTTAACATTTTTTTCAAATTGATTATATTTTCATTTATATTGGAAAAATTCGTTATAAGATTGTTAAATGTTGAAATCAATAAATGTCTGACATCATAGTTATATCGTAAAGTTGTGTAAAATATTTTATATACATTTTTCCTGAAAATGTATATGCGCGTATGGTGCAAGTAAGGGTAGAAATATATGTGTAATCGTATATACATATATATGTAAATAATGGGAACAAGAGAGAAAAAAATGTGGACGTTTTAAATATGATTTCGCGTAAGTAGTTTATCATCTTAACGTGATGTTGCGTTACACGTATAATTAGAATAACGCAAATTTACCAATTCATCTAAATATTAATCTGTTAGTATTTTCATTGTTAAAGGTAAAAATCATTATCCACCATTGATTCCATTGATCTCCAAAAGTAATTACCAGACGTTTGAAAATGTGACCTTATCGTAAGATAATTATTTTTCTCTCGTTATTTTTTTTTTTACTATCGTATCTTTATTTATAAGATCATGTTGCGGTAGAAAATTTGTTTTAATATACACAGTGAGTAAAAACATTTAGATTAATTTTCCTTTCACATATTTCATCATTAATTAATTTTTACATCGATGTTATGCACGATAATATTGTGACAGTCGGTTTAATTTTAATTCTTGTGGTTTTGTTAATATAATATATAACGTCAATAAAAATTGTATTGGACGTACGTATAATCTCCCTTCTTGTTATATTTTATTGATTTAAGACTAAATCCAGCTATATGCAATTAGTTTTGTTTATATAAGTGAGTACTATTGCAAAGTTAAAATATATGAAAGAGATATATAGAAAATAAGTAGAAATGTAATAATCGGCATAATTACCTGTATACTTACGCCCTCAAAAAAAAGAAAACATTCGTTGTATTATACTTATTTGGGATAAATATTCAATATTTATGATTCCGGAAATGTATATAAAAATGACATTATCGAAAAACTGAGATTATATTGTTTTTAATTGATGAACGTTTATCAAAATTTACCGGTGATTATACTTATTATCGATAGCATAATAAGTGCAATTGTGTATGTGAATATTTAATTTGTAAACTAATCAGAGTAAATAAATAAATCAAATGTAACATGTAAATAGACAATAAGTTTTCAATTAAAATATAAAAATGCAACAAAAATGAAGATTTTTTAAATGAAACACACTACGATTTTCCTTTTTTAAACCTTTGTCTAGCTAAAGCTTTACTATATTTTGGATGTTTCTCTTGTTCATTTTCTTTATCAGCTTCGTTATTCTCAAACTTGTCCTTGTTGCTTTCAGGATAAAGATCTATTGGTGGTTCAAGCAACGATTTCCTTTGACATTTAACAAAATAACGAAATCCTTTTGCAATACAAAATCCTAGCATTGCGATTGAAATAGTCAGTAAGGCCATCAATAATGGGTGCTACAATTTATAAGAGAAAAATTATTGCATTCCTTTTTGCATTCCATATAGGATTTCAACTTCCTTTTTGACATATCCAAAATACTTTGTATCTTACCGTCAATGTAGGCTTGTTAGTAAATACATAATCTGCTATAACGACTATTACACCAAGAATGATACCAACTCCTGCGCCGAGCCATGGGATTTGTTGATCGGCTGGAATGTAATGTGTTATAATTTATTAATTAATGCATCAAACAATCAAAGAAAATAGTCAGAGTATTAAATGCATTACCTCTTCTATCCTTCATTAGCATTGTAGATGCTCTATTAATTGCTTTTAAAATTCCAGGTTCGTTTGGTTGCAGTGACAGTGCTTTGTTGTAAGATTGTAGAGCTTCACTAAAACGGAAAGTTTGAGATTCAACTTCAGCTTTCCTAAAATAACCCTAAAACAAAAGCATTGATTCACCTTAAAGAATACAATCATAAATTAATTTCATATTTTTTCCTTTCTTATTTACTTTCGTCCAGTCAGGTTTTAATTGTATAGTCATTAGAGCGTCTTCCATCGCAAAATGATATTGCTGCATCTTTAAAAAGACAAAGGAACGGTTGCTGTAGAGAGAATAATTTAGTGGATCCAATTTGATCGCATGAGTGTAATGAAACATAGCCTCTTCATATTTTTGTTCTTTAACACAGGCATTTCCTAGTTCCTTTAAATTTTGTACCTGAAAGTTAAAAGTTGATACCTGGATAAACTGTCTGACTTCTTTTTCTTAAAGCATACGACAAAATGTACAGTAGAAGCAAGTTATAATAATAAAATTTCTTAGAACTCACCTCGGGCTCTCGAGAGTTTGACATTTTGTGTATGTTTAAATGAGATCTAACTTCGAAAGTACAAATTCTCTCATAAGATTGGGATTATCGTACGTTATATTTCATTGTCTTAGAGAGACTGACAGCAATCTCCTTATTAAAAGTTGAATAAAAATAATCAAGATGAGAGAAAATGAGAGAAGATGAGAATCGTTTAGTCGTGTATACTTACCGGTGCAGTCATGCGCAAGACGACCACGTTATGGCATATCCACGTAGTGCACCATTTTATCCCTTGCGATCTATCGCATTACCGTATAACCTATATAGTGTATCGCCTACCATTATGTCTTTCTTTCCTCATATGACAGATATGATGCGCATGCGTCTATTCTACTGTAGTAGAAGTCAAGTATCTCTAATATCTATAGATAATAAAAATGTGTATACGTACTTACAATTAGTAAAGTGAATAAGTTTATATAAGCTCCTTAGTTGACAAATGGCCCAAAAATTAGTTTGCTATAGAAATAGAAAGTCCTTTTAATGCTTGCTATATATTTATTAACTCAATTTACTTCTACTTTGAATGAATGACCGTAAAAGTGTTTGCTATAGCGGCGTAAATCCAATATTTTGGACTTGATTCATTATTCCACGCAACAATTGGACTCACGCCATTGTTTCATTCAATTAATCCTTTGACATACAATGATGTCTAGGAGACGTCAAGAACTGTCTTCGGCGAACGCTGTTCAGTATATTATTGGATTCTTTAATTGTTAAGATTGGGTATAAATGCAGCACCTCAGTGTGTTTTCAAAAAAGTTTTATGTGATGATTTTTTTTGAACGAGGAGTGGTATCCATTAACAAATGATGAAGTTAAAGCATATTTTGCGTTATGCATTATAATGTCAAATATAATAATTACAAAATCTAAAATAGACATGTATTGGTCAAAATGAAAAATCTTCATTGTTTAGATAATGAGATGGTTTCTGAAGAAGGCAGAATACGAAAGATTCGATGCAACTAGCCGAACCCATTTTAGGGAAAGGATATATCTTGTTCTTAGATAATTGGTATTTTTTTCTCTTAATTTATTCAAAATTTTGCATGAAAAAGATACAAATATTGTTAGAACGGTGAGAAAAAATCGGAAAAATATGAATTCTTTTTTATTACGTAATAAAAGTATTATATGATAATCTATTAATTTGCTCTACGTTCAGTGGTTACACTATGAAAAGGAAAAACAGTTTGATATTTTCTACAAAAATATTATTTCTTTGTGAATGTTGAATTTAATACATTTAATCTTAAGCGTGCTTGGTGTGGCAGATCATTACAATTAAAGAATATATTAAAATAGGAGAATTTTGTACTCATCTGTGTGTTCTATTTCGGCATCTAAGAAGGACATGTTAGATTTTCTATAATTTATCCCTCCAATTCGTCATACTCTTTTACACCAATTAAACACCATTGAAATCGCAGAAGATAAAGACCAATGCAATGACGAACAGATTTCTTAATTATGAATGTTAAATACATATAATATAAACTTGCATAATGTATTGAAAATGTCATTCGTTAAAATTATAATTAGTTGCCATCTGGCATAAGTTCCTTTTCTTCAAAAAAGTCGTAATACAATTACGTGGTATTAAATTATATCTTGTGTTATTGTGAATTAAGTTTCGAAAAAATGCGATTTTTATTTAAAAAAAAAATTAGATAAATTATTTTATAAATTTATTATAAAGTTATTTTAAATATATTATTATGAATACCACATTTTCAATTTATTATATCATAATAAAGTTACATTCTGTTCCTAATTTTGATATAGTTATTACAAAGTGGACTTGATTCATTCGTCAAGTAAGGAATTTCGTATATTATGATGTGTTGTAGCGACGTTGCTGGAAAACATGCGAGTCTTATGATCTTTTCTACGTATTTTAAATATTTTCTTTGCCTTATTTTTTCATAGATTATAAGCGCTTTATACTCTTATAAAAAAACAATCCGTTTAGGAGGTCATTTTCATATTTTGAAATATAACGAGAAGCAAAGAAATAAAAATACGCATAACATTCTTTCCAACATTGACGATAATTTGTATAGCTAAAGACAAAGGCTTATGTTCGTGAAAGCTCAATCACGTAAAAAAACATCGATTTTTAATAATGGGATAATGTGATGAAAAATGTATCTATTTATTTTCGTTCATCGTTTTAATGATATTTTCTGTTTTATACAAATTAAGTAGGGAGAGTTATAATACAAACTTAAAATATATACATACATCGATATCTTGTGAAACTTTTTCAAATAGCCGCGCAACTTATGCGTTAATTCATAATTTATAGGTAGATCTCATTTGATAGCGCATTTGATAGCGCATTTGATAGCGCATTTGATAGCGCATTTGATAGTTGATTTTTCTTGCTAATATATTTTCTTTTTTATTTGCTTTGAAGCTACATCGTGCCTTGTATATTACAATGCAACAAAACTGGCAAGTTTCGATGAGTTGCTCTAGGACCATATCGAACGAACGCCCTAATCCCTTTGGATGGAACTTTTCGATTCGTTCCGTTTGTCTTCCACGGTCTAAAATAAAAAGGAAATTTAAACAGTGATGAGATTTTTGAAGGAAAATGAGAAATGACGAACGACAAGAAAAAAAGAATTAAGCACACTTTTGAAAAACAACGCGGCTGGAGATACACGACGGATGGATTGAGATCTTTTTGTTATCTATTATTTTTATTTTTATTATTACTTGTTCATTTTTGTTTTTATTATTTTTTTCGTTTCAATAAGACAAAACGAAAGATAGAAAGTATTTTATCTTCTCCAGCGCGTCGACGCAATTATTGCCCATCTCGGGACGGAAATCATCTGGGACGATTTGATACTATCGATATTTGAATGTCGCTGATCATCCACCATTTTAGCACTCTTTTCTTTCGCCTCTTTTGGAAGAAAAAGTTAAGGATAAAATGAACCCAATTGGAACATCATGCTTGGTGTAAATAAAAGTAAATAAATAATATAGGCTTAATTTATCTGTTGTTTTCTTTTTTTCCATTTTCTATGCACGAACCACATTAAGAAGCGTAATTCATTACCATCAACTTTAATGTGAATTTTTATTCTCTTGTTCGATTTACGCTTAAAATATATTCTATTTTATACAATACTTCTCCGTTTAAGCACATTATCAACATAACAATCATTGGTCGTATTCAAGTTATTATAATCGTAGCACAATTGTAATTTTTCTCCTTCTCTATCTCTTTCCTTTTTTTTTCATGTGACTAATCGTTCGATACTTGGCGTAACATGCACGACTTCCATATAAAATAAAAGCACGCAAGGAGCGATAAGTTCAAGCGCGTGGTATCGACTGACAATGAGAAAAAACGGAAAAAGGTGAAAAGGCGAGACAATATCGATTATCGACTACGTTCACCTCGGGATATCTTATTTTCTTTTTTTCGTAGGCACAAATTCACTTAGCTTTCTTCAACGATTTCGTAATAAATCACTTGTGAAATGCATTATTCTTTCTCTCTCTTACTTTTTTTTTCTTGTGTACATAATCATCAATAAGACTCTTGTATTAAATAAATTAATTGTAAAATAAAAATAGGACTTGTATGACAATAGCATCATTGTTAGTTAACACGAAGGAAGTTTTTCTTTTTATCTTTTTTCTAATTAAAAAAGATATAGAGAAGAAAACCAATTGTAAGAAAGAGAAAGGAGATACAAAGCCAAAAAACCTAAGTTCACTGCTCCTTCTCAAAGACGTTTTTAGCGAGTCGAAAACAGTCGGCTCTACTTTGTCAACAATATAATTCCTCTTATTACTCATATCTCTTTTGTTTTGTTTACTCGTAATTAGTGAATATAATATATATATATATATATAATACATTTGCTCGCTATAAATGTATAGGTAATAATTGTAAATATCAACTATATTATAATGAATATACGAGCCTTTGTTAAGGTGATAGTCGTCGTCGATAAAAGAATCATGGATGCATTGTTTATATACTTATACAGGATAACATCAAAAATACTTAAATATTTTCTATTAAAACGTCGAAAAAAAAGAAAGAAGAGAAAAGAAAGAACAGAGGAAAGAAAAAACACAGAAATAGATGTGAAAATTCTGATTCTCTTTCGTCTAAACTTCATCGCGTTAAACATAAATTCTACAACCCTGTTTGATATCGTTATTTGTGACTCATTCAATCAGGGAACACCCATATCAAAAACATTAGTTACAAGGCCGAAGATTCCTGATTTTTCTAATGTCAGAGGGGTAAAAGAAAACATTCCTTTTGTCTTTATATTGTGCGAATAGAAAAAAATAAATTAGGAGATTGAATCATAGTTTATTCTAAGAATTGCTGTTTTCAAGTTATTAACCCCTTTTATCTATAATGTTCATCTAAAAAAAGAATGTATATTATATATACATTTGATTATATACTCATATATCTACTAAGCAATAACAAATTAACAAAATTGAATATTTTTTTGTAACCTTTTCATTATTAGCGATCCATATAAGAGTCATACGAACGAGCAACCAGCCCATTAAGGGTCGGACATTCGTTCACACATATACGTGCAGTTAAAGAGAGATCATACGAACGAGAAATATAAGAATGAGCCAGGAAGAACTTGATTCAATAGATTTGATTCAAAGAAATGAAATAATATTCTGATCATGGTGAGACATGTAATTAAAAAATGTTATTAATAAATATCGTAGTAACACACAAAACACAACCATTTTGACACGTTCCTTCTAATCTTGTTAAACTGATTGCAGCTTTATTTAAAGAGTTTCTAGCTCTTCAGTTGATTCTTATCAATTCCAGATATAAAATTTTTTTATTAATTTTTAATGCTCTATTTATTTTTTCCAGATTTTTACAATGACGATGATGAAAGATTAGCAGGTGAATGTGATCTTTGCTTCACTATCATCTTAACGTCCTTGCTCTTAACATTACTCCAAGAACTTTTCAACTATCTTTATTAGTTAATTGTTTACTAACCTACATTCCAATATAACAATTTACGATATATGCATATATGTAGTAATAATAACTGTCACGTCGATTCTCTTCTATTTCTTCTCTCTCTCTCTCTCTCACACAATTGTCAACACTTACAATTGGCTAATCCCGCGCTCCACAGCCAACTATACGTTTACCACCGTGCATTTTTCGCAAGTAACACGGTCTAATATTTACTATTTGAAATCAAAAAAGTCTTAAAATGATTTAAGTGAGCAATTTTATTATTTCAAACAATTTCGTTTAAATAGAAATAGTTCGTCAATTGTTGAAAATAACTCTAAGTCAAGATAACTGATAGTAACGGAAAAAGGAAAACGCTTTGCTAAGGTTAAAATACGAGATCTCCCCGATCGATCGTTAACACGTTCACGCCGGGGCCGATTTTCATATTTTTCGCTGCGAGGCGGTGTGACCCACCGGTGATGCACGCCGGCGTGAACGTGTTAAGCAACATAGATTACAGTGGGGAGATTTCCCTGAGCGGTTGGCTAAGTCTTAAGGACCATTATGCATTGTTGACAAAGTCATCAGCGACTGATTGATTGTGTTTAACGGTTTTAACAATGCGATCAATCATTGCTTTGCCAGTTGAGATACTCAACAAATTTTATCGAGAAAAGAGATTGGAATTTAGCGCATTAAATCATTCTTTCTTGATATTACGATGATTTCAGATGAATTTGTGCGATCTCGCAAAAATGATGACATTAGCGGAGAGAAAGATAGAGCAATATTGGTTGATTTTTTCTTTCTTTCTTTCTTTCTTTCTTTTTAACCTCTCTTTTCTGTGCATTGCCTTTTTTTTTTGTTGATTCAATGTTCGATCACACTCATACTTGATCTCAAACGAAATGAATACGAAATTAACGAAATGTATACGAGGGATTCTTATGTATAACAAAATTTCTAGCATCACAGTCAAAAAGTATAGTACACGCGATATAAAAAGAGACATACTCGTATTACATATATCTCTCTTTTTTTCTTTCATTTGCTCATATTCCAGTTTTTGTAGGAAAAGTAAAACGTGTCAAGGGCTCAAGTACGCCTGTCGTTTGAGAAACGAAGATATGAAAAATAAAAATGACTACTTATAATAATGATGATATGATAATGATAGAAGAAAGTCTTGATTAGATATCGTCTAAAGATCACCATTTATTTTTGTTTCTTTCCATCATCGTTCATTTGAGTTTGATTCCAGACGTTTAATAGATCCATTGATCAACGTTTTAAATCGTGTGCGTATTGGACGAAAGATAAATGTATGAAATAAGAAAAGAAGGAACGGCGTGAAAAGAAGGGCGTAAGAAGAATGGAGGAAAGAAAAGTGTGCAACGAGCGTAGAAAGGAGAAAGATGACAAATACGAAAAAAAGATTGATAAATATTGATAATGCCTACTTATATAAACAGTTACTTGATTTAAAATCTACGCGATATATATTCTTCTTATACAAAGTTATTTTTAAATTTTACGCTCCTTTACGCTCGTTTATATTTTAGATTATTATACGACGCGGCGCTTGCGTCATTCGAAGGAAGAGGCTCGAGCTTTTTTCATTTTTTTTATATTTTAATTAGCCCTTCGACTAGGCCAATTCGGCTCAGAAACGTCATTTTATTCGAACTTCCTTCCTCGTTTACAACCTTTGTTGATGCGTCCTTAACTTTTGCGTATGAAATAATGCACGTCAGATGTATGTGTATACGTATGTATATACAAGTATCTATAGTCATTTATTCACGCTTCATTACAATTGGCACTTGGATTTTTTCATCTTTCAACGGATAAATTACGTAGATATATATTATGATTTTTACATTAGATGCTAGAAAATGGTGGAAAAGAAAGGGATAAAAAAATGTAGAATAGAGGGACAGAGAAAGAAGGGCAAAAGGACGAAAAATATAGTTACCAATAGGATTTTTATATTTTTTCATCGATGTTACTTTAGCTTGTATTAAATCTATTCAACTATAATCACTCAACGATACTTCAACACTGATAACGAGATACTATTTAGGCAGTATTTAGCGTATCGTAATATTATTTTACATTTTCTTTTACTCTTTCTCTTTTTATCGTTTTTTACATTATAAGACACTTTATACACTTTATGAAAAGAATTCTGACGCGAATTTGCAAATCATCTTCGTTTCTTTTTTCTTTGCTTGTCGTTGTTAATATCGATTATTACATATATATGTATGTCATTATATCGATTTCGAACAGAAAGTCATTGAAGTAATCAGACGTTTCATACTTAATGACATAATAAGTTGTGACAAGAATTTCAAGCACAAATGTTCGCAGGAAACATCGATGATTATTTTTAACTATAAAACGAAAAGAAACGACTTGTGAGTTAACGTCAGACCATTTTCGGTTTACATTTTGATTCAAGTTTAATAATAAATGACTAATGTAAGAAAAAACAACAAATTTTACGATTTTGCTCTCTCTCTTTGTGTTTTTCACGTGTGATACTCTTTACTATTGTGTAAATGAGAAAGAAAGGAAAACAGAGAGAGAGAAAGAGAGAGAGAAAGAGAAGGAGAAAGGAAGAAAGAGAGGATAAGATGTTTAAACTTATAATTCAATGAAATTGTTTCAACTTTATAATAAGTTTTGATTCTTTTTAAAGGCATGAGTTTGTTTTAGCGAAACAATCGTTAAGCAAATAAGAGCTGACGAATATTCACATACTGTCATTTTTACACTTCAAAAATATGAGAAATCGGAAGAATTTACTAGGATAAAAGAAAAAAATGTCCATAGGGAACATGAAAAACGTGATAAACGTTTCCAAAAAATGAAATAGTTTATTGATTTTTTGTCAATGTTAAATAAATTTACACTTCCTCAAACTGTACGTTCGCGATAACAAAAAGCAACAATAATTATCTAATCGCAAGTCTAATGAATTTATGATAAAGTTATGGATAGCTATTAGTAAGAGGAACTTCTTAATCTTTCCGTTGGTCGAGATTCTTTCTCTTTTCATAAATAGCGTATACAAAATCTATATTATTTTTTACTCTACCGAATGATTTTCTAAGATGATCGTTCCTTTTGGCACCGATTATCTCTTTTTTTCATAGATTATAAATCAATTACTTTTCGTCTCTCGTAGTTAGTTTTTATATACTTAATATACGTATAAGTATGCATATACAATATATGCGTGTATGCGTCTATATATTTACAGAAGAAGGGAAAGAATAAGATAAAAAAGGGAGAGGGGAGAGAAGGAGAAAGAGAGAAAAAGAAAGAAATTATAAAAATGTCTCTTATTTTATATATATGTATGCATATCTATCAAAGAAATTATCTTGAGAGAATAAAAGTATTAATTACAATAATATTTACAAAGAATCACTCTGTGTGTGTGTGTGTGTGTGTGTGTGTGAATAGTACAACTTGGTAACTACAAAATCTTGCTGATCGTTATACACAGATGTTTTATCAGCTTCGAATCTGTCATAGCACAAAATTCGATATGTATGACACAGCACGTAAAACGATGTGAAAGGATTAACAGAGCAATCGGATTTTAATCGACGATTAGAATTTCGACTATATCGACATTTTAGCAACAAGAACGGTGAGTGTTAATAAGTAAAAAAAACGCAGAAATTAATATTTGATATTATTTTTATTACATTTTTAAATGCACTTTAAGAACGAAGAAAGAAAACAGAACTTCTAAATATCTACAAATAGCTATATAACATCCAATTTACATATAACAATGAAATATATTAACCAATTCCTTTTTACCTTTAATTACAACCTATAAAGTTCTGATCTTTTTTTTTCTTTTTTGTTTTTATATTTTTTTTTATCTTGCGGACACACACGTTTTCAGTTTTATATCTACAAGAAATGCGTACGCTTGTATATGTTACCGGAATAGTGAAAAATCAGGCAATGTTAGCAATATCCCGGTATCGTCCTCAATGCAAGGCGTTTTTTGACAATGTAGGAAACAGAAGAATTTTTACGAACTTTTCTTAAGCATTAAACATAATACTTAGACATTCTATAGAATATCAAATGCTATTTAGGCAATATTGAAAAGAATACATTATCGGACAACAGGCACACACATAGCATAACCATCACTATCAATACACACAAAAGCGAGCATGGAGCGGGTTGTTGTGTGCGTGCCGCTATACTATGCACACTTATAGACGTTGGAACTTACTTTATGCCGGTGTGTTATTATGTAGGGCTCACTGTTACTTATCGTAGTAGAAGATTATATTACGTTTGGACCGATATTCATAGAAATTGCCATGGAAAATCTGTATCTTTTGTTCCTTATTATATCGGAAGATAAGCGGATTTAGAACGAAATTTTTTATACTTGCATTCTATTAAAAATCATTCGAAGAGCATATTAAAAAATAGATTTTTTTGTTAAATAATTAAATACCTTTTTTTGTGTGCGGGTTACATTTCCGACTTTGTTGAAAAACACTTTGCATTGGGTATTGGTGACATTGTCTGATTTCTACTATTCCGGTAACATATATAAAAATAGTTTATGATATATATGTATATCATATCGTGTTTCTTCTCCTGATTCTTGTTGCAAGAAATTAATGTTAATATTTTCTCGTCAACGCTGTGCCATACGATATTCTATTGGCATTAAGGTATTTTCTTTATCGGATGGTAGTAAGTCTTGTGTATTTATGTATGGCTAATAATTCGCCAAACAATGGTATTCTTTTTATCGAACTATGATTGATTGTTGTTACACGAGATGTTAAGAGGTGAATCTTTTAAGTAATAATCAATACAAATGTTTTTTCTTTGCTTTTTAGTACAGAAAATAATACATAAACAAAAACCAGGATATACAAACAAGACAAGGATGAACTTTAAATTCAAATTCTTTGCTAATTATGCTAAAAGTATACGTAATAAAATTAACGAATAAATAAAAACACGGATTAAAATAAAAAGTGAAATCAAGTAAATATTATTTGCAGATTTACCCCAAATTCGTAGATCTTCTAAACATAGCAACGCAACACAGCACAGGAAATTGTAATAATTTCCACTTGACATATTCCTATCGTGGGAGAATCATTTATTCGTCATGATTGATTGCGTGTCTGTTTCCGCTACAACGCGCGTTCATTTGACTCTGAGTGTATATAGGTGTGTGCGTGTGTGTGCACAATAAAGCGGAGCTAATTCGTTTTCTTCCATGAATGTACTTTTACGATATGAATGGGTGCTACGAGCAATACCGGCATCTTTAGTCTTAAATACAACAAGATTTTTCTCTCGAACCGTTATTAGAAGAATATTCTTCTTTTTCGACTTCCATCAAAAGAAGGAACCAAGATGATCGGAAAAAAGGGAATGTCAGTCTAATGTTTAAATGAAGGAAGACGGTGATAACAAGGCGAGGATAAGGTGATAAAGAAAATGCAATGCAAGCCAAGGCAAGGTTATTATTTGGAAACGTTCGAAGGAAATGGTCCAACTAACTAACAGAAGAGACAATTAAATATACTCGTATTGCTAAAGTAAAATCGGTGCATTTAGAAGTGGAGGAAAAAAGCGACTGTAGATTTGCGCAGCAGACAGCTTCTTAGTTTTCTGTTAACTGCCTCCTCTCTTCCTGTTCTTTCGTAGGACAAAAGCAACATACGAGAAATTAATCGTACTCAATTATCATGTATATATATATATATATATATATATATATATATGTAATAAATGTTTACTCAATAGTTTTTTTGTTCCTGGAGCTTTTAAAGGACGGTTTGTTGGTCGATTTCACATAAAAACGAAGAATACGATGGGCAACAAGAAACAATCGTTGATTATTAACTCCTTCCTATCCTAATGATTGTAAACAAAGATAAACCTTTTGTTGGAATTATTTTTGCTCGATAAATGACTCGTTTAGAAAGCCTTATTCTATGAATCAAGGGTCTGAATTATTCTTTTGTGTTTTATATATCTTATATACAAAGAATAGAAGAGTGCAATACAAGATAAGTTGTAATAGATAAACAACTAAAGTATCTTGCCAGATATATCTTAAATTTAAATGGGAAAGAATTAATATACAATTGTCGCTCGTATTTATGTGAGACTCATTTTACATACTAATTGCGTCTTTTGCTATATATGCCATTCATTGCAATATTATAAAAACAGGTTCATAAAATAAGGAGAAAAAGTAATAACATATTTTTCGCCTAATTCAAAAACGATTAAAACAATTATTTGTAACAAAACATTAATAGTATCAAAATTTAATCAAAGAAGAAATTTGGATAAATTTTAACAATAATAATACAAAGACAGTTTAATATGAACGTTGAAAGAAATTGTATAAATCATGGACACGCATCGTATCAATAAGATAAAATGCATTATATATCGGAGGTAATTGTTAAAGATATACTATAAGATAGATTCTGTAACTTCAAGCAATCACAATAAGCTTCAATTATATTATGATTTGCCTAAGGAAAAATGCTGTTTTTTCTATGCACGATATTTAAAATATGTTTTTCATGTACGACGTGCATGATACAATCGGATTGTTTACGGCAAATCATCACGACGATTCTCATGCTTTTTCTTTCTCTCTCCTTTTTGCAAAGACACATAGCAACAGAGCAAGCATACGAATGCTTTCTCTCTCTCTCCCTTTCTCCCCCTTCTTCTCTTTGTCACATTCTTTCTTTCTCTTTTCCTCATTCCGTCTAATATTTATCGATCAGTCCTAAAGAAAGTACAAGCATATAAGTTATAATGTAAAAGTATACGAATACTGGGAGATTTCCATGCTACAGTTCGTAAACAACGTCCCAGCTTGTTTTTTGTTCATTTTTTATTTCATTTCCTTTTGATAGAAAGATGGGATAGGAATTTTAGAAAAGGCTTGGCACGTGATTACCCCTGGTACCTCTTGAACCCTCTTCTTTTTTCCTACGGTTTCAGATTTATTTTTTGTTTCTCTTTAATCTATCTAACGCTTTTAAAATGGACAACACACACTAAGAAGACGTGTGTGCACGGTAAGTAACTTGATTAAAGTAAAAACTATGTTTTATTTCTTTTTCCTTTCCACGCCTCCATCCCCCCCCCTCTTGTTTCTTCTTTAGCCCATCACTGTTTTACTTTTCCAAGTCCGTGTCGTGGACACAAAAAGCAATGCAGCTGCGGCTGTAATGCCGGTGCTGGCAACGACGACGACGACGAAAACCTTTGGACTCCATACATATATACTTATACTTATACTTACATATTAACTTATCTTATTTACCCTCTTTCTTTTCGCAATTTACGCGCGCATTTGGAGAGATCTTCTCCCTGGCCGTCTCGGTGTTAGCCGATCCTCTTTTTCTTTCCCTCCCTTTTTTTATTTTATTCATATTATTTTTCTCTCTCTCTCCTTTTTTTCATTTTATTTTTATCTTTGCCTTTTAAACGTACCGATTGTCGTCAGCCTTTTCGTGTTCTATAATCAGTGATAAATCAAGTTAAACCGAGAAGCTAGCATTGGTCGAATTTAAAACGCCAATTTGATCACGTACACTCGTCACGCGTTTTTTTCTGAACGCAAATGGAGAAAGTCAAACAATCTATATATATATATAAATGAATCCGTTTCCCTTGGTCACGCCATAATTTGAGAACGACTTTACCGATTTCACTCATATTTTTTTTTTAAGTTTTCTGATACTTTGTAGAAGATTTTTACGGAAAGAAAAATTAAAGTTGGTGGAGGTAATGCGGGTAACTTCGCCGTGGATTTACGCGTGCAGCGGGCGTTTTTTCGTGTATCTCGTTTATCGTGAATAGACTAACACGTGGTATACATGGTTGTATAGAAAAAATAAGGGAGTAAATTTTTTATTTTCAATTGAATTTTGGTTCTTCAAAATGCCACCAATTAGACGTACCGACTTAGGTCGCAGAACTCACAATGCTGCAAGTCAAACCTGACGAGCGACGCAAAGCGCGAAATGAAGTTGAACGGAATCGATGGAATCGAAATCAACAACGTAGAGATGTTGCGTTCACATGGCCAATTATATGTCGCCTGTTCCCGTGTCGGACAACCATCAACATTATTTATTTACGTGCCAGAAAATAAAACTAAAAATTGTTGTGTATCAAAAAGCATTACAACAAACAATATGCTTTTGAAATAATTTGTTGTTGTTGTTAGTTCAAATTGAATATTCACAGCTAACGTAAGACAGGTCAACGTCTGTCAGGTCACCTATTGGAGAATAAAATTGGAAACGCATTCTCCTATTGATATCTCGTAAGTCATAATACGGCAGGAAGATTGGTCGAATGGCGTTCGTTTTCGAGTCGCGCAACCTCCATTCAGTTTAATTTACTTTAGTTTAGTTTAATTTTTCGGCGATTATTAATCCAGGAACCATAAGGACCGTTAAGAAGATCAGCCTTGCAACTTTGCCGAGAAAATTCAAATTCTGCGACAACCGAGTCGCGACTGTAACGTACCGACAATCGAGAACAGACGTAGTCAAAAAAAGCCGGCCTTTTCATTGTATGTCAGTAATGCGTACTATCCGTTTCGCCCGTATCACCCATCGTGTGGTTGGGCATCCTCGCCGTGATTAACATGCTTCCGCTACTACTATTTCGCGAATCGTATTCGGCGACCAGTCTCTTTATATGGCTCAGCTTTTCGTGCAAAAATAGGAAGCGACGTTTCGTCTGTTGTTGTATCGGATCATTCTTCGTTTGCAAGTATTCCATAAGAATAATTTTGCTGACCTCCTGAAAAGATTAAAAATATCAGTGGGAAACGAAAAATAAACGAAGAATAAAGGATGACTTTGTAGATTTTAGTAGAAAACCTAGTGCGAAACTATATTTTTAATGTTCCAAATATTTACCTTCCATCCTTCTATATTTCCCATCGCTTGCTCTTCCTTCAGACGGTCTTCCAATTGCTGAAAACGCTCAGAGACCATCTCCACTTGAGCGTGCAACTTTTTATATTCTTCGTAGTCCTCATTAAATTCAGTTCTATAACGTCGTCTCTGTTCCAAGCTAAATATTGTCGTATAATTTCTGTTACAAAAGTAAATTTTGCGATAAGATCATCAATCTGTCAGATCGAAAGATGGAAAAAAGTGGTGTTGTAAATAACTTACGCGAGGTAATTAGTGTTGTTTTTGGATAAGTTGTGACTTTCCAGTGAATTGACGTTGCACGTTGATGTCGTGACGATGTTATCGTCGGTGTTAACGTTAAGCTGCGCCAAGCTTCTGTCAGAAAGATTCACAAGATTGTGATCTGTGGTGGAAGAAGAAAGGGAAGTACTAACGTGGCTGGCACTATTCCTTTGACGCGATTCTCGTTCTCTATCGCTGCGAATCCGATCGTTTCTGTCTCTTCGCTCGTTGATTATACCGTTTGATGATATAGCACTGTAACCACCGCTAGTACTATTGCTACCATCACCAGCACCAGCACTAACTCCACCCACAGCGACACCGCTCGTGGAATTAGTCACGTTGCGCGCAAGATGATCTACACTTGAACCAATGCTGTTTTCGTTACTACCTGGGATTGATTTATTAATATTTTGACCGCTGCCACCACCACCACCAGCCCCATGGTGGTTGCGATTGTTGCACATTGAATTACTATGAGTTATACTATTATGAGAATTATGACTGACGATGTTGACGTTCGCGGCATTACTCTCGCTGCTCGAAATACCGGCGTCGCTTTGATTGTTCGCACCGCTGCTATTGCTTGCTGTCATTGGACAAGTTTTGCCATTGCCGTAATTTCCGCCACTTCGTAACACTTCACTGTTGGATGTTCTTTCAGCCCGATAATCGGTACGGCGTTCACGTTGTTGCTGTTGCTGCTGTTGTTGTTGTCTCTGATCCCAAACATCATATAAACTAGCATTACCACTAGTACTTACACTGACACTTCCACCACCACCACCACCACCACCACCACCACCACCACCACTACCACTGCCACCGATACCAACAATGACACCACCACTAACACCACTACCTGTCGTCCTTCCACTCTCATTGACTTTGGAAGAAGTGGAAGACAAAGAAGAGGATGCATTTGAGCTAGGTTCAGGTTTTTTATAATGCGATATCCGTGGTTTTTTTGTCGGAAGGCCATCGTTACCCTGATAATAGCCAGGCATCTTGTTAAGAAGATTTGGCGGTGGCGCCGTTATTGCTGGTGGCGAGCCCGGATGAACGGAATTCGGTGACTGTCCGCTACCTACATTTAATACAATAGTTTGTAATCAGGTACATAGAAATTCAATAGAATAAAACATAGGATCCAGCTACGTACCACTAGATCCACCATCGCTGGATCCAGGTGGCGTAAGATTCTGAGGTTTTCTCCTCTTCAACATAGCTTTTTCTTGGTCCGTATAATATGGCCAATCTTCCTGAACGTCGTTCCAAACGTACCTATGCAGATGAAACGTGTTGTCCCGCATGAAGGCCACCTGTTTCAGGATCGTTGTCACGCTACTACGATCACGTTCCTTGATTCCTTCTAAAATAGAAAGAGATAGAGAGAGAGAAAGGGAGAGAGAGAGGGAGAAAGAAAGAGAGAGAAAGAGAGAGAGAGAGAGAGAGAGAGAGAGAGAGAGAGAGAGAGAGAAATGATGACGACGATTGATGTTTAGGGTCTTTTTCTTACCTTTGTTGATGCGATCGTATAACTCGGGCTTCTTATATGGACGCAAAGCGAGGAGGTGTATCAGACGTTCTCTGCACAATAAAAATGAAAAGAAAGGAAGTGTTATAACGGTATTACTATAAATGAAAACATTTAATGTTATTCATCTGGAAAAGAAGATGCGTACTTGAGTGGTCTTCGCATGATGTCGGAAACCTTTTTCTCAGGTTGATTACGAACCATCGGTTGATTATTGATAGGAGTCAATTTGTAGGTGGAAGATAATCTTGATTGATTACCACCTGTAGACGATGGCAGAACGTTTGATGATTCTCGATATCTCGCATTGTTCGACACCGGTTGTATCGTTTTATTAACGGTACTTTTAACTTTTACTTTTCGGCCAATATCCGGTCCATTTGCTTTGATCACCCTGGTACTAAAAATTATCAGAAACAACCAATTAATTGTATATAATGATCAAGAGAAGCATATTCATTTCCCTTCCCCCGGGACGCAGAATTGTACGATTTGTCGTTATGCAATATGTTCTCGCGTGAACTGTACCACAGTGCCGCAATAAAGCACTTGCCTTTCTTAAGGGAAAGAGTTGGGGGATGGGAGGGACTCGATCGGGGATTCAGTCGTAATGAAGTTGCACTTGTGAGGGCACTCTTAGCCTTGGCCGTGGTTCCTTCGTTAAAGAAATTAGCCTTCGCGTTTCGCGTAAATACGGCTTACGATTAATTTCATTATTCCTTTTTTTTTTTTTTTATTCTATCACAACATGAGAAATATCAATGGCTTTAAGAATTTAGCAAATATTATAAATAATCCAAAGATCTTTTTCTTTCGTAAAAATGAAATACTTTAGTTAAGTTCAATTTCCAAATTTGTTTCGAACGTTCATTTGGAATTGTTTGTTGGTCAATTTCGTTTTTTTTTTTGTTGATTATCAACGTTGACTACTTACCATTTATTCTTATTATTTTCTTCTGCCACCGCCATTCGATGCCTAGTTGTCTCGTAGACGTCGTCATTCGCTTGTATTCGCATTTTATATGGCAGTGCTCCGAGGCTTTCCAGGCTCCTGCGTGAAGAAAGATAATTGTGATAGCAGGCCTACATACATACGTTGAAAGAAAGAGTTTTGTTCCGTTCCAGTTTACATTTTTAATTGACGTATTGAACAATCTGTTTTTACTGTACTTTGAGGATCATATTATTAATATTGATACAATTTACAAACAAGTTTTCGAGAAAAGGAAAATAATTACAAAAGGATACTTACGTTGGACCTGTTTGTTGAATGCACTCGAAGCCACCCTGAGGTCCTTCAATATCTTGATTGCCAGATAGGCTGAAGGTGAAACCTGCCGAGCCATGGCTAGATTGCGTGGATGGAAATGACAGTTGCTGAAATAAAAAAGAAAAAGTAAAAATATGTCAATTTTTATTTGGTGCGATAGAAATGACGAAAGATTATTTTATTTTTTTCTCCTTTACGCACTTAAGCCCTTGCACTATAACAAAGTGTGAAACGCATGATACGCTTTACAGCCTAAACGTAAGAAACACGAGTCCAGTCCTACTTGAAGCGAATTTTTAGCATCGATACTCATTAAATTGATTTTTTGTATTCTTATTGTAAAGAATAAAGAAATCTCTTTCTTTTTTCGCGTTGGTTCCAATTTCTTCGAAAGTCAACTTCTCTCTCCCTCTTTCATTTCTTAGGTGAGCTCGGATCGAGCAACGATTTCGCAAAAACTGATCGTACGGAGGCCTCTATTTCCCTCATCTTTCCTTTCTCTTTTCTCCTTTCTTTTTATTTCCTTAAACTCATGTCCTGTCTAAAGAACTGTAGGAGGTGATACTGGCTCCTGACATTTCAGAAATTACGACTGAAGACATTTTTTCATTCTTTCCGTTTCTCTTTTTACATTGTCCAAAAGCGAGTGCGTATGAAAAAGAGAAGAGAGTAAACTCTGATGCAAACTAATGGCAAATTAATTCCTTTGTGTAAAGTCTACCTCATTGAAGGATCGATAAAAGAGTGTGGAAAAGTTCTTACTAATTTGAAGAATCTAGAGGAAGCGAGAGAAAGAGAGAGAGAGAGAGAGGAAGGAAGGGAGGGAGGGGTGTGTGTGTGTGTGTGGAGAGGGAGAAAGTAAGCTCGGTATTCGAGCTTCTCTGACGGGAATATGGACGCGTCGAGGCCAGGAAAAGGAGGAAAAGAGGTCTTCCTCTCGTCGAACGGTATCTTTTAAATGAAAGGACGAAAGGTCGAATCGTATCAGAAGGCGATATGAAAGTTCCACGAAGGGAGCGAGCGCTCGTTTCAATTTCACTGCGCAGCACGCGTACGCGCGCATATGCGTATTTCCACTTACCGAATTGACTAAACTGTGATCGGGATTATCGTCGCGAAGCGATCTAAGATTTGAATTTATTTTCGATCGAAGTAAAAGATACTCGGTTGCTTACTAAAGTACATTCGCGAGTGGTCACGATTGTCAAAGTGACGAGAACGCCCACTTACTTACTCTTGCCGTGCCAGCTTCGAATTATTTCTGTCGTAAAGGCCGTAACAGTTGAGAGACGACGCATACGTGACATTTTCGTGAACGAGTTAGCGCCGTCGTGCCGCTTACAAAACAACCCGTTCAAACTCCTAATAAAAGCAAAGGATCCCATTTTATTTATTGTTAGTTGGGAAACTAACTTGAGAAACGTACGAATTTGAATAGGAAGACATGGACGTAGAAGTTTTATTTGCGTTTTAGGGAACCAACTCCTAACGAAAATTGGCATGAATAAATAAACGTAGAGCTTCGCGAATTGTTTGGTAAAAAATAGATTTCTTTAGTTCCCGAGAAGGAGAACTGTCATTGGCCGCTCGCCATGTTAAAGAGCTTTTAGCTGCTCTGCGAATAGTGCTTCTTTTTTCTGGACGCATTTTCGCGAAACACCATCGAATTTACGAAATAAATGTAATTGTAAGAGCACGTTAGGCAAATCGCAGATCGTTGCTTGTGGTAAAAGAAGGGAGAAAAGAAGGGAAACCTTGTAGTTTACATTCGATGTAAAATACTTATGATAGTATACCGAGGCTTCGTATATCGGGCTTTCGTCATCCGCTTGCGTCATACTTTTCAGCCCCTCTTGCCCTCTCTTTCGGTGGTCCATTGACTCTTCCCCTTTGGACATTGAAAATTTGTTTGAATTGTCGTTTGTCTTCTTTATACAGTTCTTGATACAGCTGCGGCGACACAACGTGTGACGATTACGAGGAGAGAATACAATTAAATACTAGGGGGCTCATATCAAAGTTGGCCAAACAAATATGAAAATGGATAAGAATAATTAACCCTTTACGGACTACATCTCAGCTAAATAGGATAATCTAAATATCTTCTTTGTTTAAAATCGAATTAAAAAGCTTCAAAGGAAAAAACTGCGCTATCTATTGCAAGAGGAAAATGTAATGATTGAAAGAATTTTTTCTAGAGATTATATTTTTACGAGATTACAAGATTATTGATGTTTCTTTAATATAGGAATCATCCTATATTTTGTTTTGCGATATTCTCGTAAAGCATGGAAAATCGAATTCAAAGGTCCTTCTTAACATTATCGTTTCTATCATTTATTCTTGAGATATTTATATTTAAAGATAATTAGAATTAGAAATCTCTGATATTTGGAATGTTGATATCTTTGAGTGGTACGAGCGACAATGTCGAAATGTGGCCTGGCAATCTGAAAGAACTTTCTTGACAGCGGCTTCTGTGCGTCGCGTCCGCAAAGGGTCGAGAAGTCAAGAAAGGTGGTACATCTTTTGAAATTCGTACACCCGCATTTGACGTTATCCTAATATAAAATTGTAGGGAGAGAGAGAAAGAAGCAGAAGAAAACTCGAACGGCTCTCGAACGGCTCTCGAACGGCATTCGAGAGCGCACGGTCGTCCTCGATTTGGGATGAAACGGCATTTGGCACAAGGTCATTTTTACTTGCTGCGCATAGGTATATCGAGTAGATAACACTGAGTCCTCGCGCATGAGCAAGATTACAATTACAGTATCGAGGATACGAACGAACGCGTCTCGATTATTCTCACTACACGTTCGATTTTCTACACCCTACCAAAATATAATGATTTATAAGCCATTAGTTAAAAACTTGTTCGACATTTGGGAGATGATTCCGTTAATGTGCACGACGGCATTTAAATATTTAATTTCTTTAGTTAAAATTCTTAGAAATAGCAGCTCCCCGGCGCCGCGTAAGTGGTTGTCGGGGATGGGGGCTTTTTCGCAAGCCGATCGCAGAAATTCCTGGTCACGCATCGGCGATCGTTTCTTCCCGTGCCTTCGTTTAATTAGGAAAATATTTCATTATTCTCGCGCAATAGCCGACGTTATTACGAAATCGGGATGGCGACGGCGATCCCTTTCTAACGCGCTCGAGAGACGCCTTTTCGTTCTCCGATTTCGGGTTAACGATCGGAGGTGAAAGGATAACCGATAACCAAGCAAGCTTTATGATTATAATTGTAGCCTTCGCCACACGTTTTTCCCCTCCTTTGAAAAGTGACGTAATCCGAGCTTCGTTGAAATCAAACTCGATGGAAATTCTCAAGTTTAACGGCGATACGTAAAACGATCCACGTTGAAAATGGCGGGCCGATCTTTATAATAAACGATGAATTATTTATTTCATCATTTTTTGCACCTTCACATTGATAGTCCAATTAAATCTGATTAAATCGTGTTGATTGTTGTTCCCAATCGATCAAATATCGATGATTGAGCAATAAATATAAACGCGTTAAGGACTTTGTTCTTAGAAAGTTTGACCCACGAAGTTGTTGAAAATTGAAAGAAACTGCTGAGAGTGGTGGCTCACTTTCGTTTCGGAACACGCGCACATTTCCAAAAGTGTTCGTCATCAAAAAAATTAGTATTCCTGATCTGGAAAAGACCTAGATATCGGGTCATCTCGGCCACGAATTACCTAACGCTATCCACGCGTCTTCGAGAACATCTACTAGTCCACCTTATTCTACCCTTGAGCGAGCTAAAAATATTGGCAAAAAGAAAGGAGAATACGCATATAATCAGGCAATGAAGAAACGACGATAAATTCATTCCCCTCTGTAGCGTCGAGCCAAATTCTCTAAAGACGAGCGTTTCAACTTGAAATAAAAATTCTGCGCTCGTTAGACTTTGTTGCTAACCAAAATGTGTATGGTGTAAGCAATCCACGTGGGATTAGCGCAACTTTAAAAAACTTTTTGGTCAACGCGTTAATTGTCTTCTGTCACCTTCGTAGAGCGTTGATTTTTCGTGAAAGGTAAAAGTCCTGACCCCTATAAAAAAACCTGCATCCATAAATGAGATAGAACCCCTATAGATACTAGTCTATATTCTCTGCAGAGTATTAAATAAAGCGTAACGCGACGTTAATAACTTGTTTCGTTACCGCCAGTCTCGAGAGTAAGATTTATCGAACGACAATGTATTCTTATCGCGCTAAAGAGTACGTATCACCCACGCACGCGCACCGCTACCACCAAACGATTATTATCCCGACGCGCTCGACGTCCTTGGTATCGATTATGGAAATGTCATCGGAGATCGAGTCGACGGGCCTTGATCCAAGCACTACCGTCGATTATCTTTCAAAGATTTAATCACTATGAATGCTCAATTTGCCATTAACATCAGAGATATTTGACCGGACAAAAGGAAGGGAAGAAGAAAGTACCTAGGGACGGCATTAACATTAGGCTATATTTGCACCCTGAATGACTTGTTCGATTCGTCCGTGATTCACTCGTAACGAACGAATCCTTGAGAGACATACAAACGGAGGAAGAAAGAGAGAAACTATAAATAATACTTTTCTGACTCATCAATCCCATCGTATCGTACGTGCCAACCCTCCCACAAGCCTCACGTTCCAAAACCTCACGTTCCAAAACCATCAAGATTACTCATTTTCATTCATTCCAAAAATGAAACATTTTCTTATTGCTTATTGTGCACTTCCAAGTTATCCCTTGTTTTTAATCGCTTTTCATGCGTTCAATGTAGGAATCTGTATTTCTTTTTCCTCAGTCGTGTGTGTGCCTTACTTACACTAATGAAATAAAGAAAAAATATCATTTGGAAGATTAGAAGCTAGCGCACAGAGGATTCGGCGAGAAAGAAGCTAATCGAAATTCGGAAGCAAATTTAATTGGATGGCTTGCTTGTTTTCTCATAAAGTAGTATGTCAGTAGGTTATAGCGAGCATTATACGCGATACGACAGTCCGAATTAGGCGTGTCCTTTGTTGGCATCAAACGCAATGCAAATCCTAAACGGTAAAAAAATCGAGTTCACGTAAGTCCACGGAGAAAGAAGAAAACAAT